TACTAAAGCAGCGTCAATTAATATGGATCGGAGGGAGTAGTTGTTTCACATGAATCTAACTGGTAGCATCTACCGTGCCCTCTATATGACTCATGCTGTATAATATACCTTGCTTTTTAACTCGTGGTAGTTTTTTCTCTGATTGCAGCAAAAGCTGAAGGGTATCCGCTGCCTTCTCCGAGATGCTCAGATGCAACATCACCAGAAGGTAATTTGTCAAGTTACATAACTTTGTGGTCACATTCGTCATTGTGTAAAAATATCCCCTGAAAAAAAAACATAACTATTTGTTTCCGTCCAGTTTCACAAGGTGTGGGGACAGCTTATGAAGACTGGGTACCAAAACTCTCGGTTTGCTCACCAGGTGATGTGCCTGTAAAAAAACATTCACAGTAAATTTTAGCAGTCGACTGAAATGTTCTTACTTTTGCTTGTGTCAACATTCCACAGGTCGAGAGATTTGCGTGCCTATACTGCAGCCAAGTTACAGACTTTGGGTTGTATTCTCCCAACAAGTATTACCGTCCAAGCGAAGATTACATGCCCCATGAGTTCGATGTGCTTGGCCTGTAGAACTAGTTTGTGCTCATGTGGAATCGAAGTTCTCCTTTGAGGTGTAGGCTGAAGCAAGATATGGACGCAATTTTAGCATGATACTGAATAACAAATATTTACCACCTCACACAACAGAATGAGGTCTACCTGGTGAAACTTCACCCATTTTACATGTTTATATACTATAGTTGCTGATAGGAAATTTTACAGGTTTCCTGCTTTGTACATAACATGTTCTAACAGGGGGCAAATGAAACCGATGTTGAATGTTGATCATTTCAACTTTCAAAATAAATAATTTAATTTGGTTATTACTCCGCTTGGCTATGCTCATCTGAATTTAAAGTGCTGTATAACAATTGATGATATCCCAATGAGGTCTGTAACCCCTAATCAATTTTGAGGGTGAAATTTGAGGGCCATTTGGTTCAATGTTTGAAAGGCTGAGCCATTTGTTTCTCACGAAGCTGTTACTTGTGTGTACTGGTTCGTTCAAATAGCTGGAAATGCTAGAGCTTGACACCACTGCAGCAGCATTGGTGAATGTGTGACCTGACCTTACAGAAGCCCAACCCTAATAGCTCTTACTGAAAACAATTTAATTCTTGGCTATTTTAAGGGTGAATGACAACCTGGAAATGTTAGGGCTTGTTTGGGACTGCTCCACTTCATCAAAATCAGTTTCGCTCCACTAAATTCACTTTGGAGCAGTTTCATCCAGAAGTTGTAGCGCTACCAAAGAGAATGTTTGGCTTCCATCTAGCTCCAGCTTCAAGAATGAGAAATTTGGTGGAAAGGATCTATTTGATTGGTCGAGGGGGGAGAAACGAAGGGGTATCCACTTACTGGTGGCAGTGGTGGATAATTTCCACCCAACTCCAGCTTCTAGAGATTTTTGGAGCACCTCCTGAAGAACTTCATAAAAAACTGGGAGTTGTGCCCCGGATTCTAGTTTTTTTATGGAGTGGCATATCGTGGAGCTATCCCGTTTGGCTTGTGTTTTCTGGAGCGGAGCTGAATTTTAAGGAGCAGAGCAGTCCCAAACAGGCTCTTAATGCTCCATTGGGAAGCAGAGACATGGGAAGCTAGCAAAAAGCATGGGCTAGTTAGAAACTTCTACCTGATTTGTATTTGATCATAATCCTTTAGTTGATACAAAGGAAGTTAAACACAAATCCTTTAGATTTGAACATAGCTGGCTTTAAGACGAGTTTTCTTAGAAAAGGTGGAAAGAATCTGAAATGAACCTATCTAGTTTAGATGTGACGCAGAAGAATTTAAAGAAAGTCAGCAAGTATTTGGAAGGATGAGAGAGAAATCTAAGAGGCCAAATACAGATGAGCTGAATGATCTTGAAGAATTGGAAGAGATCCAACCCCTAACTAATGAACATATGGCTAGGAGGAGTCGTATCCAAAGCTCTCTATGTGAATCTTTGGAAGAAGAGCAATACTGGCATAAAAGATTAAGTGAAGACTGAATGCTTAAGGGGGACAACAACACTAGCTGCTTTCACAGGATTGCTAAATAAGGAAAAAATGTATTTTCTCCTTGAATATACATGAACTGCTGATTTGCTAAATCATGCTAGCGAGCTGTACAAAAACTTGTTTGGTCCCACTGAAGGTTTTACCTGCAGATTAAGGAGTGATGTTTGGGTTGTCCATGCAAAATTATTTGAGGACGCCAGGGAACTTAGTAGACTCTTTAGTGAAGAGGAAATTAAGAATGTGATAGATGTGTTGAAAACGAATAGGGCTGCAGGTGTGGCTGGATTTCTCATTGGATTATTCAAACCTGTTGTCCTATTATTAAAGATGAAGACGATCTCATGATGTGCTTAGTAGAATTAATTTTGGTGACACTGAACATAAATATAGACCTATTTGTCTTCTCCATTTGCTCTTTAAGCCTTTTCCAAAAAATCATGGATGAAAGGGTGACACCATTTTTGGAGAAGCTAATCTCTGTGAGCCAGAATGCTATGAAGGGGAGGAACATCATGGATGGAATTATGTCTCTACAAAAACCTGAATTCTGAACCGCGCAGCTGCGCTCGTTCGCTCGCGCGAGCGCACGGAGCAGAACCGTCCGATGCGATGTGCGGCGATTTCGTCCCGACCAGGTGCCCGTTACGGATTGCACGAAACGTGCAGCGAGTGGTGGGCCCGGCCCCTTTATTCCAGGCGAAACCGCTCCCCCCGCGCCGCACCCCCGCTCGTCTTGTTCGAAACCACTCGCACCCCCCGCAGATTCATTCGAACTCCTCTCCCTCTCCCTTTCCCCTCCTCTAGCAACGGCGAGGCGAGGCGGGGTGCTGCAGTGGTGGTTCCGGCGTGGAGTCGCCGGTGCGGGAGGCCGTCCGCGAGCGCCACGAGTCACCGGCTGCAGGTGGAGGTAACCCGCTATTTCCTCCCACTCTGCTCCCCTGTTTTTCTCGCTTTACTCCCCTGTTT